TATCTTATTGATGAGCTTTTCCTACAATAAGAATGTTAATTAAATCAGTATAATTACTAAATTGTGAAAGAACAATTTGAAATCAAAGTAATTGTGTCAACTTTTCAGCTGATATTAAGCCTGTTATCTAATCTCGGTTCTAATCCATAATGATAATCTAATGGTTTTTGTTGTAACAATTAATCAACTGGATAAAGGTAAATACTCAACAAGGTTAATTACATTACTTGACCAAATTGACTTTAGGTTTTGTTTGACTCAAGTTAATTGATTGCCTGCAAGTGTTAAACTTAATTGTAAGCTATCAACTTAAACAATCAGTAAAACTAATTGTATATACTTTACATTGAATAATCATAAATTTACTCAATCAAAATTCGTACGTGTATTTGACTAAGTCGATCGACTTAGTATGATTAAGTGATTCTATTAAAATTAACGATCAACAGTAAAAAGTTAAAGCATAAAAGTAAATAGAATTAAAAAAAACGCAACAAGAGATTGACTTTACCTTAACAACCAGAAAATTCATTTGGATATAATCATAATTAAATTGTATAATCAAAGAGTAAGAAACAATTGCCTATCACAAGTTGATTAATTAAGCAAAGTGGCATGACCACAGTAATTAACAACAACCAATCAACCAATCACTACATTTAATATAATTGATCAGGTTACTCAGTTATAGTTTCTGGTAAACATTATAAAGCTTTTGATAAAATAAATAAACCATAGTATTGCTAAATATTAACTGAATTCACTTCATAAGAAATTAATTGACAATTAAAAGTGTTCAAAACAATACAATTAATCACGATCAATAGATAATCTATGATGCAAATCTATTTTATATTATCAATAGAGTTTACTATTCATATGCAACACTGTAATTCGGTGAAAAGCTGATTAACATTTGATTATATTGCGAATGGCTAAATACTAATGAAAGTTCATAGTCGATCGTTCATCCAGAAATTATTCAATTTCTCACCTTTTCTGTTATAATTTTTTCATGGTTCCAAGTTGCGATACTGAATGAAAGTTGCACCTTAGACAAACACTCAATGGAATATCATTTATTACTAACAAGCTTCTCATCATCATCTTAATACTTGACTGTTTTCATTCAAGTTGTTGAAATATTTTCTCGTTAAAGTCAATTATGCATCAGGAGAAAATAAAGGTAAAACTATCATTATAATCTCAAATAAGAATAAATTGATAAAAGAGAAAATAATAAACTTGAATTTCTTTTACTCGAAAAGTCAATGGAAATCTTTTTCAGATAGTTGATGAGAAGTTAATTTCGACTACAATAAATTCAACAGCTAATCAGTTTCAACAGAAAAATCAGCCATCAGAATTAGCGACAAGTTTTTTTCATCTAATTCTTAACATGGTTTAGTATTTTCTTCTCAACATCAAAGTTAAATTCAAGTCTTGTCAACAAACTAATGATAATATCGAAGATGATGACAACTTAAGAGAAATTGATGTTGACCACCAGGACGCAATTGAGTCGATATCGAATCCGATTGTTAATATCAATTGATAATCTTCTGTCACAATCAACTAACCTTTCAATTATGTAAAGTTTGATAATAACTCTGGTCTAATTATGTGTATGGAAATTATTTTTTCAGATAATAAATTATCAGAATGGTGATAATTTTTACCTATGAGACAATGGGTCAACAATTAGTTGATTCACTCTCAAGATGAATTGAATTATAAAAGATTCTTCCTAATTACCAACAATTAATTTCATCAATGAATGGATAATAATGAACTTATTCAATTTCATTTCAATGTTTAAATGAGAGAGTAGCCTCAAGGGCCAGAGGTGCGTTTGTCATGATAACAGCAACGAAACTAAACCCAATTAGTTAAAATATCAAAACATAAAAGAGAAGTAAAAAAGAGGAATGAATTACATGTATCTTCAGATTCTGAACTTTTTTTTTCAGTTCTCATACTAATCATTGATGTAAGTTCAATGATTGTGATGATCATGAGCATTAAGAAAAAAAGGTTCGGTTATCACAAGTATTAGTTGAAGAATCTAATCTATCTTTATCTTCACTGGGTTAACAGGTATACGACGATATGACCACCTACTTTAATAAGATTGTCGATCAAGATGATGTTTTATCATGTAAACTTAAAGAGTGGGGATAAGATGAGATTAACCATTTGGTTAATCTCAAGTCACTTCCGGGTTGTAAGTTTATCAACAAATTTTTCAATGTTGATCATTTTTATATGATGCAAGTTCCAGTGATACAATTATCAACGATGAAAGGGTAACCATTCACGTTAATTGCTAATTAATGAATGATTGCCTGACTGATTTGTGCATTTGGTTTGAAGGAATAATTTATAGTAAAACAGGAAAATCATAATAAATGATGAGAACACAAATGAACTGAAACAAATTTTCATCAAGAAAAAAAACAAAACATGATCGATGTATTATAATAGTTGATTTTTTAATTAGATCAACATAATTAAAACACCAAAGAATATAAAATTGTGAAATCAACATTTACGTTAACTGTTGGCAACCATGAGAATAGTAATTTGATTAAAATTAATGTCCATTTATCAGTCTTGTATATCAAGAAAACGAGCTCGATTATTAATAAGTTTACGAAGGTGAGAGAACTCAAATGTAAAGCATTCATTATGATTCTAGAAACATGAAAGTTCATAAATACTCAGTAGGATAATTAGATACAATAAACACTTAACAACATTCGATATATTTACACATTAAAATAATCAATCAGAATAAAAGATTCAATGAAGTGGTGCTACAATTAGCGATGACTGGAGTTTACAATTAGATTGTTCAAGTTTGTAGGTGTGGGTGGAAAGGAAAATGAAAAGTTCTGACTTCCTATAAACATGATGACTTCTTATGTGATCGATTTAGGATTGGGTGAGTTAATTAAATTCCTCCCTTGAGTCTTCATTTGTTTTACACAAAATTAATGGCAAGTTGATAATTTGATTGTTGTTGAAAATGTTATTGTATTGTAACAATTATTTTTCCACTTGTAATTCAATTGTAGTAATTGAAGATTAATCATGAAACAACAATCAATTTCTCAGAATTTGTAACAATTAAATTTTCCAAATTTAAGAGAATAAAATTTCCGAGAAAATAGGTCAGCTTTAAAAGATTGTCGATTTAAACGATTATCTTCATGAAGACATTAGATCATTAAGAAAGATTAAGTTGCAGTTCGAATGCTAACAAAATGAGAACTACCACCAATCACATTTATTCGTGTTTTCTCTGTAAGTTTAAAGTTCGAAAATTCATGACAATTGATAAATCTGATTGAAATGAGAAAAATGAAAAAGTTCAGCAATAGAAATTTCTTTCTATTTTCAGTTCATTTTCTTCGTAATTTGGTCATCATTCATGAACTTTTGATTCGACAATTGAGAGACGATCTGAAATATCCAATTTTCTGTCAAGGTTATTATCGATTGAATCAATGTACTTACCATTATCTTCAGCGTCTTTGTAGGTTATTTGATTTTCTGAATAAAAATGAAAAAGAGAAACAAATGAGTTTAGTTAGCATCATCATTGAATATTAAATAATGAGTATGATGGAAGAAAAGTTTGAGAAAATGAGCAAAGAAAAAGTTTCGAGGAATAGAATTGATAAAATACTAAATTTATCATTAATCTTTAATTTTCTATCAATAACATTAGAAAATGAATGTTTTCTTTAATCATAGTTTTTCAAATTCTAAAAGATTATTAAAATACAGAGAAGAAAACATGTAGAATATGTTGTAAAATATGAAATTAGAAATCATCGCAATTCTAATAAGTGATTAGTAAAAAAGTAGACAGATTTCAGCTCATTCGGAATCCTGATTTTCACCTGATATATTTTACTCAAACATAATCAACATCAATAAACAACAAGAACAGAAAAGTAGGGAAAATAAAGGATAAAACCCTTTAGGCGATAAAACCACTATTTGAGCTAATTTTTCTATTTCGTCTTCAATTCTGTTCATTTTCCAGAATTAGACGAAAACCTTGAAGCAATAATAATTACAATAATGAGAACTCTAATATCACAAATCTCACCTAATGCACATTAAATGGAGTTGAAGGAGTCGCAAAAATATAAATCAAAAAGTAGCTTTTTCCTTTTCATCGTTAGTGTTCATTAAAATGATAACTATCAACTCAGATTCATTGGGACGAATTGCAAATATTAACATACCAAAAAATTATTAACATTCATTTTCACTCCTCTGATTCTTTAATAATTTTGTTAATATAGCGAATAATTATTAGAATTTGCATAATATCCATTTATTATTATTACGATTGACATTAGGACAATAGTGGAAACAGTTACAACTAGTTGATAATAGTAAAGTATTCAGTTAATTTTAGAGTTTTGTCAACATTTATGAAAGAAACTGAAAGATGGAGATGATAAACTCTGTCAGATTCATTCAGAATTCAGTGGTGAACAAATTATATTCATTTGTTCAGATCATTTGACTTACTCATTATCATCACAAAGCTATTTAGTTGAACAATAATATTATCATTCTACACGAAACAAGTAAAAATATTCTTTCTGAACAATTTTCCAATGGAACAAAATTCAATTCTAGATTTTACAGGAATTCAATATCCTTTTGCTTTTCGATCTATTTGTTATTATGGTTCATTAAAGGTGAAATTATTGTAACTTAAATTCTATTATTGAGAACGAAAAATCCTAATAAATGGAAGTACATGTAATAATAACACGACAACTTTTCAACAACAATAAACCTCAAATGCGAAGCTCATCAAGATGATACCGAAAATGATGAAGTGACAATTTGATTTAGGTTTTCACATAGTAATCAAGATTTGATGTTCACAAGATTGAGTTTAAATTGAAAATCATAATAGTAATTTACATGTGAAATGATTAAATTTGACCTTAATGGACAGAAACTCAAGCTTCGAAACTGGAAGAGTTCATCAAAATCACCATTAAAGGTAATTTTGTGCTCTTTGATGGACGTTGATCATCAATGAATACATTTGATGATAAAAACGGGAAAGTATTTTTACTCAGAGATTTTTTTAAATAATGATGATGAATTTTCTAAAGATGAAAAGAAGATGTTCCATTAAAATGATGGAAAATTGAGAAAGATGATGATACCGATCGGATTAATACATTATCGCCGATAGTTTCTGAGCCAAAGTGTTTCTTTCCATGATAATTTTGGAAGTTCTTTAAACCTATCACCATGATGATCGAGAGAATATGAAGCTTGACTGATAAAAGATGATCAACACTAGCCTGAGCATCTTCATCTCTTACCCTATTCAATATTTTTGATCAAGATTATGATGACAAGAATGATGATAATGCATTAAGCAAGCAAAATCGGTAAACTATTGATCATGAAAGAGACTCACTATAGCTCAATAAAGGATCATCAGCATTTTGCTTGTGAATGTTATTAAGATTCAAGTGATAAGAAGGTAGAATAGACTAGGAGATAAAAGTAAATATATTTATGATGAAATTAGCTCAAGGTTGATATTGGAAAACGATGAAATGTCACCTACCTATTGATAGAATAGAAAAAAGAATCGTATAAATGTAAGAGAAGAAGATGAAAGTAAACAATAAATCAAAACCAGGATAGAATCAGAATGTAAAGAGATGAGAGCTCATCGAGTAATAATAGTTTCTAAATGCAGCACTGGCATGGATATAAAGTGAATAAGAACATGGTTACAGAAAATTTGATACACGGAATGATTGAGCTAGAAACTGAGAAAAAGGATAATGAATCAAAATCATGTTAATAAAGTGCGTTCATTGATTCTGATTGATGGTCAAACCCTTACAATTCAATTGAAATAACCAACATGCATCATTGTTACTCAATTCAACCAAAATCAGATACATTACACGTCATGAATTATGTTAATCAACAAAGAAGGTCTAAATGATTACAGGTAAAGAATTTTCTGATTGGCACACATAAAGAAGTAGAAAACAATGAAATTAAACAATTATGACAATAAAAAGACTTTACAATTAATACAAAATGAGTTTAACGGTGAAATTTCAATGTAAGGGAAACGACAAAAAAGAATGTGCAATGCATGATGAAGTGGAAACATGGGAGAATAATGTTGAGCTTGGAATCTTGAGAATGATGATTAAATAGAGAAAAAGTCAAGATTAGAGAGAAACCTAAATGCAAATAGATTTTCAATGGAGAATATGAATGGACAATCTTTTTCGTCTCAACTTGTTTTTTAATATGAATACCTCATGATAGAGATGATGATGGTTACAAAATGATAATCAGGATAAAAAGTGAAGATTCTGCGAATCTTTTATGACTATATTAACTCAGTCAACCTCGAAAGAAATGAAAATGATTTCATGGGTTTCAATGTTAATACTCGATGCTAATATATTTCAAATTAATCACTATTAATATTCAGCTTCGTGTTATCAATTTTAGCTTAATACAATTAGCATAAAGAGGTAAAATTATCAATTACTAACTGTTAAAGTAATACAAAATTGTGGAACCAAAATAAACTCTGTTGGTTAAGATAAAAATAGTTATTTTAGTGTTCCCACTCACTAAGTTAGGGAGCCTGAATGCTCATGGAGAGAGACCATGAAAATCAATAGAATAGGAAGCAATAATAATATAATGATGGCTCAATCATGAAGAAAATGATTATTCACCATTGTCAATACAATGTAGGTAATATTTATCATGTTCATCGTCATTATCATGAGTTTTCATCATTATTGTTCATTATTAAACACCAAGGATAAATTACAATTAATCTGTTCTCATTTTTAAATATCATGTCAAAAGTAATTTTGAAACGGACATTAATATATAAGCGGAAGATATTAAATACAATTTATATTATATAATAGTTTACTTAGTTTCTAAAGGAATCATTTGTAAACCCTCATCACTTTAAGACTATTGTTGAAACGAATTCTGAATACAAAAGTATAAATACAGTGATAATATATATTTACTAATATTCTTGAGCCCTAAGGCCATGTGATAAGTTGAAAATTTTCATTGTTGATAGTTTCATGCTCTCATTGGATTGAATATTATTACTTCAATACAGATATGAATGAGATACACATGTAGTTTTCACTCAAGATCATTGATTTTTGTTTGAAACAGTCAAATGGAGTACATTTCAAATTATCTCCTTAATCATTGCTCAGTTATCTTTAGACAGTTGCAATGTTGAATTGGTGGTTATTTATTTATTCCAGTGAGTCTCTAGAATACTAATGTTATTGATTTACTGACAAGGTTATAATTGTCATCAAGAAATATATTGATTAATAATTTCGATTTACTGAGCTTTCTCCCGGTTCTTACTGGAAAATATTAAGGACGAGTCATAACCAGCTAACCTTTCCTATGACATTAAACTGTTAATATAAATTAATTTATTATAAGACTTTCCGATAATTGATATAGTAGTTGTTTGATTGATGATTGAATTCATCAAAAACACATTGAATTCATTATAAGATGACACCGATGAATATTTTGAGAAATGAATACGAACTCAAAGATAGAAATTGAAAAGGTTTGAATGAATCAGATAAAATAATCGATGAGTCTGTTGAAAGCAAAGGGAATGAAAAACTATCATCTTTGGATCTTTACTATTGTAGTTACTCGAATTTTTGAGAATAATGTAAACGGTATTTACTAAATTCTCAATAATATGAATGAAAATGCGAATATTGGTATTAAGGAGAGTTGAAACCAAGAATTACCACCACTTAACATCTTCTCTTGGTCGTTTACTTTCATCAGCTTACAGAGTTTTCATAGAGAAAAATGAGAATAAGGACAATCGATTCTAATGAGGGAAAAGATAGAATGAAAGAAATAAAGAGCAAGGGAGTGGCAGGAGAAAAATGGATGATAAGATGATAGAAATGAAGATAAAATGAGTAAAATGGAAGAAAACGATTAAAGAAGATTAGAAACATGTCGTTATCATCACAATACTTTGTTTTTGCTTAGAATCCATAAACTATATGCATAGACACATAGTTCGCGTCATCATATTAATAATACTCGAGACTATTTGCTCATCATTCCCATCAACCTCATCGTTTTATTCACCATCATAACTATGAGCTCTTCGATTTCTTTCACTCTATTTCCATTGCGGTTATCTTTGTTATCCTCTTCAGAGCTTTAAACTTCATCTTCATCTAACGGAGTTCGATAAATATCCATCATTAAAGTACATCTTTAAGCGACCAAAGAGAAATAAGAAACTAAATTCATTTACTCCATTGAAATAAATTCTTTTATTTCTTCACGTTTGCAAAATTAATCTTAATTCACGCTCGTTGTCCTAGTAATCTTAATATTATTCCAACTTTGTTCCATTAAACTTTTGTTATCCGAAAAGAGAAACAAAAATTGTTCATTAACAGTTCACATGACATGTTGAATTCAGTTTCATTGTTTTG